AAAAAAAAAAAAAAAAAAAAAAAAAAAAAAAAAAATGAAAACTAGTACTGAAAATATACTAATTAATTTAATATTTTTTTAAATGTTAAAGTATTATTATGTTTAAAAAATTAATTTAAACAATTAATCCATAACCAATAAATAATATTTTGCAATCAAAAAATAAAATGACTAGTTAAAAAAATAGCAGTATCCTTTCTTCAACTCCAGTAATTACTTAAAATATTTAATGATTTTCATGTAACTGGTTCAAAAGTTGTTAATCGATAAGCAATTATCTCATAAATAAGCTAGTTAATTATGTATGTTGCTATTTAAAAAAAAATAAATTTGACACATTTATATGCAATAAGGGATCAATATGAAAAATGTTTCATGATTGATAGATTAAGAAAAACATATACCATAAAAGAACAAAAAATAATTGTTATTAGTGTTGTTATTTTTTAATTAAGTAGTCCATGACAATTGAATCACCCTATATGCTTTAAAGAGAGTTGATTTAACTTTAAGTTGGAGTGTGAGACAAATATGTTAGTAAAAACATTTATACAATTTATATAAATTTGAAAATATAGACATACTTTCAAAATTTTTGCTTGTTTTTCTTCTTCATGATCTCTTTTACTTCTGCGTAATCGTAATTTTCTAGCTATAGGATCACGATTAATAGCTGTAAAATATTTTACACACAGACTATTTTATTTTCACATAGTTCTTTTAGATAATTACATAATATACACACACACACACCTACAGTATGATTTATTAAGTATACTACCCCAATTTTTTCATAAAATAAAATTTTTTTAACTAAAATTTGATTTATTTTTGTAAATTATAGTACATATCAAGTATATTAAAAGAAAAAATAATATCTAAGGGTAGATTTAAGGGGAAATATTTGAATGTTACTTAGAAACCAAACTTGCTATTCAATATGGCTTATAAAAATAAATCTAATTTTAGTTTGTAAATTTTTATTAAAAAATGGGAGGTATTTTAAGTTATTGGTCTAAGTCATACAACCCTAATAAGTTTAAATCATGGCTAAAAACCAAAATAATTTTGATTTATGGCAGTTTTTTTTATATCAAGTAAGTTAGTTGACCTATATTAAAATTTTTTCAAGAATTTGTAAAGTTAATCTTTTTAGAAACTGAAGTATTATACAATCATTTTTAAAAACTTAACCAAACTTAAATTTTTAAGTTCAATCGAAGGTTTAAAGGCAGTTTTCATAAAATTATTGATTACTAAAATAATTTTTTCAAAATTTAAAATTTAATATAGGTTTGTAATTTACTAGATATGGTAAAGTATTTCAATCTTTAGTTTTTTTTTAAAGACTAAATTATAAAAATATGTAATTTTTATTAATTTAAAGCAAAATGTAAATTGACTTAAAATAATAAAATAAACATTTAAGAAAATGGATTTAATATATTTTTATTAATTATTTTGTGAATACATTACTTTGTGGTAGTTGTACTAAGTTTGGAACAACAGCTCCAGCAAGTCTTAATTGATTTTGAAGGGAAAAATCTATATTATAAAATTGCAATCCTTCAGCTGCTACATTTGTAGGTTTAGGAGGCATTATCAAATCTGGATTATTATTCAAATCTAAAACTTCTATATCCTTTAACAAATGAATAGTATCTGGTAAAGTTATAAGTTTATTAGAAGACAATAAAAGTTTCTTAAGATTCCCGCATCTGAAAATAATCGATTTATTTAATAATTAATTTAATGAAACTTTAATATTTTAATTTTCAAAAACTAAAAAAACTCACCGACAAAGACCTTCTGGTATCATTTCTAAAAGATTTCCAGAGGCCGAAAATATTTCTAAGGCTGAAAGTTTACCAATACCGGATGGAATTCCATCAAAGTCTAATTTGTTGAAATTAATATACAATCTTTTAAGATTTGATAATTTGCAAAGAGATGATGGTAGTGAAGTTAAATTATTGTCAGAAAGTTGAAGAACTTCAAGTTCATGCCATACTTCTAATTTTAAGAGAATATAATAATATATAAGCAATGAATGAAGTTTATTTTTAAGAGTATAATTATATAATACCTAATGCTAATGATAATTCTGTTATAACATTTGATGATAGATTTAATCTTTTTAAATTTATTAACGTGTAAAGAGCATCAGGTACTTTGGGTAACTGATTACAACTTAAATCTAAATCTGTTAAAGCAGTCAATGTTTCTAGACTTGGAGGCATATTAGTTAAGTGTCTATGGGTATTTCTCATATGTAACATGGATAAATTTTTCATTGATGGTAACTGCCTAAAAATAAATATTTGGTAAATAACTGTAAGATAAAAAAATCTCATAAATATATTAAATTCTTTATCTAACTTATTTAAAAATAAATATAATAGTTTAAATGGTAAAAAAACAAATTATTTAAGAAGAAAAAAATATTTATGAATACGCAATTTTTTGTAATACAAGAAAATATACTATTAATCCAATGAGTAATAACTCTAATGAAAAGATTTTATTTTCACTGTACTAAAATTTAAGTAAAAATAATGATTTTAGAAACATTAATTAAACTAGTAAAATGATCTTTTAATATTTTTTTTAAATTATTGTACAATATCTGTATTTATATAAAACAAATAATAATAATATTATTAACCTTTTCAATTTTGCCAATAACAGGTTGAAATTTTTAAACTTTTTTGAAAGAAGTGAATAAATTAAGTTCAAAGTATAACAAAGTTATACTCAGTTTCAATATTTTTTCTAAGAAAATGTGTTTAATGACTATGCACAGATTAAGTGAAACTTATTTTAGAACCATTCAAGTGATAGAATATTAGGTTTGTATTGAATTTTATATAATCATTTAACTTTATTTATTTATTTTTATATTTATATTAATTACATATAACTATTTATTTCAGTTAATATAATTATGAAAATAAATAGATTTAATTAAATTATAATATAAAATATATGTAGCATTTTATTTTCAAAAATTAAAGTAATGTTTTTTAAAGTTCATTAATTAATTTAATTTAAATTGTATGCAATTGAGCATTAATTTTTTAGAATTTTATCAAATTATAAATTTATGTTTTAATATTCAATTATTGTTATTAAAAAGTAATATATTAATTAAAAATAAATATTTTAATATTATTAATATTAATAAAGTTATATGAATTTTAATTTCATAATATTTATTTATATTTTTTCATTTAATTTTATACAATTGTGAAACATAAACGCTTATAGAACATTTATGAAAAGTACACACTTATTGATTTATACATTCATGAAACAATAAAATTTTAACTGTATACCTAATAAAACATTAGAATCAGTTTGACAAACATTGTGTATGAGTGAGTTAATAATTGATAACATGATCACAGCGTGTAAAAGTTAACCAGTAGACAGATGCTAAATGTAAAAGGTACGGTCCGAAAAGGCCGACTGAGATATACAAAAAAATTTTTTTTTCCTCTGTAAAGTATTTGCACTTCAATAAAGTTTTTTTCAAGGTGCTATTAATTTTTATGAGTCAGTTTATCATTAATAAGCAAATATAAATCTATAAAATAATGAAGAATTAATACCTTAATTGAAAATGATCTAAAGGATTATTGTTTAATATCAATGTTTGTAAATTTGTCAATCTTCTCATTTGTGGTGGTAGTGTTTGTAACTCGTTATCACTAAGATCCAAAGACAATAAGTCAGTTAAATGTACAAATAATTGATTAGGAATAGAAGTTATCCTGAAAATATTATACAGTTATATTAGATATCTAATAAATTACAGAAAATAGTTTTAATATGAACATTTTTACATATTATTGATAATTCTATAAAACTAATTGATATAAATATTTTAATGATTGTAAGATTTTAAAATTTTTTTACATAACTTTATATTTTATATACTGTTATTTGTAAAAAAATTTAAATAATTTAAGATAAATATGAATTTTTTTAAATTATTTAAAAATCTTTAAAATTAGCAACTATAATAAAATGAAATATTTCCTATAACAGTATTAAAGCCTTTATGATTTTTTTCTAGTAAATATAATAAAACTTAAAATTAACTACTAATATTTTTAATTTGTTCCAAATAATTAAGAACAAAACCTAATGTTTACATATCAGCATGAAAAAATAAATAATAGTAAAAAAAAAAAACAATTTTACTTTTTATTCTCTTTTTCAAAACTTAAAATATAATCATAAAATAAATCATTTAAGTTTATAAAAATCAAATTAATAATAAAGCTTGTGTTATAAAAAAGAACAAAATTTAATAGGGTTAAGTCATGATTAAAAAATTTAAATACAATTTATACATAATTTATTTTTTGAAAATATGTGAAATGTTATTATATTATTTCTTTTATGTAAAATGAATTTAATACTTTAATTTCCTTGAACAGTTTAATTGAGTAGTAAATATTCTATTTACTGCCTTACTACTCATACTCAGTCTCTTTACTCAAGTTAAAGAATTAAAAGTGTAAACATTACCTATTATGTGACAAATTAAGTACTAGTAAACAAGATGATGATTCTAAGCCATCTGGGATTCTTGTTAAACGATTATAACTTAAATCCAAAGTAGTTAATTCTGTTGTATTATCATTATTACAGAAAAGTTCTGTTGGTATACCAGAACTTTTGATATTGTTGTGTCGAGCAATTAATGATCTCAATGAACACAGCTCTGTAAGTTCTCCATGTAATTTTTCAATTTTATTGTGAGCAATCGATAAATGTTCCTGAAAATATATTAAATCTAGATTAATAAAAATGTGAACTACAGCTAAATAACAAAATTTCAGTTTTATAAAAAATATAACGATAAAATGTTTAAGAATATGCTATAATGTAAATTACAGGTACTTTATACATATTTAATTTTCATTATAGAATCATAGTAGTATTATTTATTTTTCATAAATATTATTCATATCAATAAATAAATAAAAACATGAAAGATTAATAGTAAATCAAAAAACATATATTAATATGAAATATTAGTTAAATAACATTTTTTTTTAACTATAACTTAATAAACTAAAATAAAAATCCAAAGTTATTCAAAATACTAACTAATTTTCCAAGTTTTCCTATTTCAGGAGGTATTTCGTGCAACTTGACTCTATTAATGTTAAGCCATTGAACACTAGACATTGATTGAACAGCTATAGGAAATTTAGAAGTCTAAAACCAAAATTTAATAGTTATTTAAAATTATTTTTGAATATGATTCTTATTGAACATACCTCAAAATCATTATTACTAAAGTCTATTCCACGCACGAATGGAAGAACACCAGTATTAGCCATCTAAAATTTTATAAAAGTACATGGTTATTTAAAAAGAAAGAATGGTTGAAGTACATTTATTCTTTGCCTTTATCCCAACTTCTTAGGGTCTGCTATTTCTATTCCTAAACTTCCACATCACCTACACATACATCAGCTATTCCATATCACATTTAATAACATCACTTCACCTTTTTTTCATTCAACATTCATTTCCATAACTGTTCTTACAGCTTCCAATTCCTATCTTCTCATAACATGACCTAACTATCTAAGTCTATTTTCTCTGAACTTATCTGTGATTGACACTACACCTTACTCTCTCTTCTATGTTTGTTACTTTTCCTATCTTCTCTAGTCACTCCACTCGTCCATCAAGAATTCTCATCTCTGCTACACTCATTCTCTTTCCTAACACACTGAACATCATAGCTGGTCTCACTACAATCTACCTAGCTTCATTGAAATTCTCTTATAGAATGACACACCAAATGCTTCTCTCCACTTAATGTTGTCTTATATACTTATCAATACCACTATTATTTTGCACAACTGATGCTACATACTTATAACTTTCTTCTCTCCTATCACATTCTCGCTTATTGTCACTGATTTCCTCTCCTTAATCAAACTCATACTCTATATACTACTTACATTTAATAGTAATTAAAATTTTACCTTTATATTATATAATAACTTACCTTATTTTAGAAATTATAGAAAAGTATTAAAAGATCAAGTATACAACATTTCTAGACCTCATCAATATTTCATTTTTTTACTTTAGATGGATTTACTCGAAAATTATTTATAAGCGAACATTATTTCTACATAATATACCCATTTTTTAATTAAATCAAGAAAATAATATTGACTATACAAAAATAAATAATTGAGTCATTGAATTACATAAAAAATATATCTTCTTTATGAGTCATTGAAAATTCTTATACATTAAATACCTCAATATAAAAGTTTATCACAAATTAACTTATATGCTATATCAAAAAAAAAATATTATTCAGTAGATAACATATTTAAAAAATATTTTGTAACCTTGTTGATCAACAGCTTGTGTGAACAGTGGTACCAACTCAAGGGATTTATCCCTAAACTAAAGAATATTTGTTTTTGTGGGATTTAGGGATATTGTAAGCTGATTTGGGAATTTTAAATAGTACTGTCAAGAAAAATTTCTGCTAAATTAAAAAATTATATTATAATTAAATCAATTAACATATAATTTAAAAGATCGTTTGATTTTACATTTATTCTATGACAATAATAGTATACAGAATTAGTGCATCTACTTTATTCAGTACTTATAATTACACAACAGATTAAATCAATATAATCATATAAAATATTTAGGAAATTCAAAGTTATTTACAATGAAAAATTTGTTTTACCATTTTCATAAGTTATGATAATTTCAAATAAAAAAAGTTAAAATTTACAGATTTTAAATATCCTTATTTTTTTTATAGATTTTCCCTATTTACACTACCAAATCTATCTACAGGGAAGGAAGAAAATTGTTTTCAATTTTATGAGAAATTTCTTCAACTAGATACAATTTGAGATTTTTTGATGTATCTTAGGAAAAAATCGTTCCAGTGACACCAGAAAAAAAGTAATGATAAACACACACAAAAATATATAAACAAACTATGATTAAATTAATACCATATTTTTAAATTGTATTATGTATCCATACTTGTTCAATAGACAGTGCATTAATAAAAAACACAACAAAATTTTAATAAATGATAAATCATTTATTTAAAATAAAATATAAAAGAACAAATTATGAGTTTGCATTAGGACCTCTCCTACGTCCAAAGGTTTGTACAACATTGACGTATCTTCTGTTATATTGTATACGTCTCTTAGCCCGTCCTGTCTTTTTCTTCTTTTTCTTTTCAACTTTTTCAACCTTGGGAGTTTGACCCTTAACTTTACCTGCACGGGCTAAAGAACCATGCACTTTACCTAAAAAATTATAATTTTTTTTTTTTTTTAATTGTTTATATCATCAAGTAATTTTGTAATCAAACCTCCAAGTAGTGGAACAATAAGATCAACATTGAAATTGGTTAGCTCTCCAATAACTTGGTTATCATAGAGAGGTTCTCCTTGGCAATATAAAGAAATCAAATTTTCTTCCAAGTCTTCCAATGCAGCTAATTTTGCCTATCAATTTAATAATTTTATTTAATTATATAAGTTTCTCAATATAATCATTCAATATATTTAAGAAAAATGTGATGTAATGTAAGTAAAGTGTAGGAGTAGCATTGATTGTAGATAAGATGAAAAAAATAGGCTTAGATGTTTGTTTAGTCATATTATGAGGAGAAAAATCGGAAATTGTAAGAACGGTTATAGAAATGAACATTGATGAAGAGAAAGAGTGAAATAGTGGTGGTTGGATATAATTAGGGACGATATAAGGACTACTGGTGTGCAAATATAAGATGTAAAAGATCATGTCAAATGAAGATTTAGGATTTGGGTAGCTAATAAAGTAGTTGGGATAAAGGCAAAAGAGAAGAGTAAAATGTCTTTAAGTTGAGTTATTCTTTAAAGAATTTATATTTTACTAAATAAGAAATAGCAACAATATTGATAATCTGATATAATATCAAAATTGTTTATATACAGAGTGAATCTTTTAACACTAATTACTCAATTTCTCTTAAAATAATTTTTTTTGGCTTTTATTAGTTACACTTGTATCTCCATTCATCTGATATAAAATATTTTTTATGTTTAACCCTCATATCTTATAGGGGTTTCAACTTTAAATGGAAACATACGTAATTAACAAGCTTATAAAATTGAAACTGATTTAATTAAGAAACAATATGCTTTTAAGGTATTCTTCACAAATTTAATGTAAATTTGATATAGAAAACATATCTGTAACTCAGAACTACTGGAATAGTGTAAATCCAAAAATTATGATTTTTAGGTTATTACATTTTGATACATGAAATAAAATTTTATATTGATCTATATTAACAAAATATTGCTACGATGATCCCTTGTATATTTAATTAGAATTTAGGTTCCTTTGCAAGAATTTTATTTAGTACAAGTGTGACAATACCGCAAGCTCCAGTCACCGGCATTGGAAAAATAGCAACCCAATCAACCGTTGTACAACAGTACATTGCAATAGCTCTACTCTTACCATAATTGGGTAGTCTGTAGGATAGGAGTTGAGCGCTGGGCTAACAACTCTGTTTCAATAAAAAATTCTGTTCAGGACTTGTAGAAGTCTCAGAGTAGATTATTTGGAAAAATAAAACTGGAAATAAGAAATTGCATATAGCACTTAGTACCTGGTATGTGTGAGAAACAAAAAAAATACCTTATGACTGGAAGACAGCGATGACATGTTCCATACACAAGAAAGGAGATAGAAAGAACTACAACTACCGAGGAATAATATTCTTAGATGTAGCATATACAATATTCACTAATTGCATCTTATTAAGGATAAAAGAAACAGCAGAAGGTATAGTTGAAGATTAACAAGGACGTTTTGGACTAGGCAAATTGACAACTTATCAAATATTCATCGTCAGGGAAATTTTATAAAAAACATAGGAATTCAAAAAGGTAATGCATATACTTTTCTTTGATTTCCAAAAAACATGATAAATTACACCAAGAAAACAATACATTGGCAGAGTTCCACTTTACATATAACCTGATAAATCTGATCAAGTATCATGGAAATATAAGTAAAAATCAGAATAGAAACTATAAAATCAGAACAAATATCAGTAAGGACAGGATTAAAGCAAGGAGACTCTTTATCACCTATATTATTTAATATTGCGCTGAAAAGTTTTAAGAGAAATGAATAAAGGATAGCTAAAGGATTAAACCTATAGGGACAAACAATAGGACCATTGGCATATGCACATGACTTAGAACTGTTGAGTTGCACAATGAACTAAATGTGGAGAATTAGAAAAAAACGAGGAAATAGAATCACTATAACAAAAACCGAACATTGTTAAAGCAATCAGACATAAGGAACTATAATGGGCGTAACACGATTGGAGAAATCAAAACTAATTACTCGAACAGTACTAGAAAAGAACCCAACAGGACAAACACTCCAATGGAAGATAGAGAATAAGGTAGGAAGATGTAGTGAAGAATGATGTGGAAGAACTAGGAGAAAGAACAGAAAGAGGGCACGGAAAACTGACTGGGATGGAGAGAAGGCTGAATATATGACGGGATGGTCCTAGAGACAGTAAACACAAAAAAAAAGTTACTTAGAAGTTTGTACCAAACGAATATAATTTGATATACTTAAATAAATGCTATACTATCAATGTCATTTTTTAATGTAGATCAAAATTAATAGCATATCAATTTTTATTCCTAACTACGTAACAATTCAAAAAAGTTTTTCCTGTTTTATGCTTTCTTGAAAAATTGAATAAATATGACTTATGTTAGTCTAGACCTGAGATACAGATGTTGACTTACGTATAAAAGTATTTTTTTAAATAAAAATGTGTTTAAGCATTCAATAACTTCAAGTATGTATTTCATCACTTAAGAAAATAAATTAATTTTTAAGAAACTATTAATATAAATAAAAAAAATATGTTCTTAAACGTTTTATTCTAAAGAAAATGAACTATTTAACTATTAGAAACTGTTAATACTACATTCAATAATTACAATATGTACACTTTATTAAAAAATTTAATATTACCTTAATCTGAGAAATATTCTCAGAACCTTGGCATTCTAAAGCATGAATATTTTGACCACGTACAAACAACTGCATTTTTAATAACTGAAAATTAAAAATTAAATTAAATAATAATACAAAATGTTGTAAATGTTGAGATATTTTTAAGGTTAGGATTATGAAATTAGACGCGTTAAAAGGAACTTTAAAACGTTAAATTAACAGTCAAAAGTTAAAAACTTCATTTTAAATGTTGACTTACTTAAATCAATTGGCGAATGAATTAATTGTAAATTCAAAAGAATTTATACCATAAATTGTCAAAACGTGCAACTATATGGACGTTTTCACCGTAAACACATCTCCAAAAGAATTTCATTATATCATATCATACTTTTGAGATTGAACAACTCAATTTACAGTATATCCATCTTATCGGAAGTAAACCATTGTGACCAACTGTCACATACCACATTTTTGATAAACTGTTTTAAATTTTCAAATAAAGTAATACCATCACAGACTTATACATAATGATATGTATTTATATTTATTTTTTTTTTTATTAATTTATTTTTTTATTTATCTTATCTTTGATTGGAATAAGTGCTTCCAACTAAATTCTTTTCTCACTTAAAGTAGATAACACATAATAATTAAATGTAAAAGTCATCTTATTAAAATTATAAATTTTAGTAAAACATGAAATAAAGGTTTTACTATTAATTAATAATCTTAAGTATCAATATTTTTTTAAATCACTTACCATTTATTTTTTTAGTTAGGTGAAAAATAGTAAAATGATTGTTTGTAAAAACTGTCATATACAAAATTTTAAATTCCTTAATTAAGGATATAATTAAGGAAGTAACAGTTCATGTAGTTTTTTTAATAAATCATCAATTTTTTAAAATAAACACTATAAAATAGATTGATATGTGTTTAAGAACTTATATAATTACTATTAAGAGTAAATTTATGAGAAAAGCTCAACATTTCAATAAAATTATTTTATTTTGTATATTTATCGTAATAAATTATTTAAATAGAATTCTTAGTAATCATTTCTATGTAACTCTTAGTGTTTAAATAGATGCTACTATTGAGATATTCACAACTCATTTATTTCATTAAGTATTCAATAATTATTTATTTAGGCATAATGCACATCACATATTTTACTTGTTACGTATTTTTTGAAATTCAAATCTAGTTATTGATTATATAAACGTAACTTAATAATCAGACAGATATTAACTTCGATGCGAAGTTGAAAAAGTATGAATTTTACTATAATGTGTTTTTTTTTTTGTGTCTGTTACAACTTTTTCTCAGCTCTCATGAAACCGATTTCTTTCAACAATACGTCAAAAGATCACAAATCTTATCTAGTCGAATACATTACCCTCAAAAATTGAAAAAATTTCTCTCGTTACCCGTAAATTGGTGAAATCTCCAAAAAACATTACAAATTTTCGACATTTTAGCTTCGATGCGAAGCTGAGAAGGTATTAATTTTATCATGATGTGTTTATTTTTTTTTTTATTTTTTTTTTTATTTTTATTTTTTTTTTTTTGTGTCTGTCACTACTTTTTCTCAGCTCTCACTGGACCGATTTCTTTTAACAATACGTCAAAAGATCACAAATTGTATCTAGTTGAAGACATTACCCTTAAAAATTTAAAAATTTTCCCTCGTTCCCCGCAAATGGGGGAAATATCCAAAAAAATTACAAATTTAAAAAT